CTTCTTCTTCTTTGTTCTTTATTCTCAGTTCAAAGACCCCTTTGAGAAGATTTGCACCCTCTTTGTCTGGCACATCCATTCATAGGAAACATTGCACATTCAGTGTCAAAGATGTCATAGTTCCCTAAAAGTCTAGTCACACATTCTACAATTAAATCAAGTCAAATAATCAGAAATGTGTAACATGCCCACCATGTAGTAGGAATCAATGATGCCATGTAGAAATTGATAGCTATTAAGCTATTTTAAATAGTTTTTATCCTGAAAATTATTTTACATTCTATTTAGCAAAAATTGTACATAAAACTACACAAAAATTCCTAGAATAAAGAATAAATCGGGTTTCATTTTGGTGACAATCTTCTGGCAAAATAGAGCAAAATGAGACAAGCACAGTTACAGGGATAGTGGGCTGTGTTGTTTTGCTTTGTTTTGTTTTGTGGTACTGGGGATTAGATCCAGGGCCTCAAGTTTCCTAGGCCAATGCTCTACCATTGAACTATACCCCTCACCTTTTAAAATTTGAGACAGAGTCTCACTTAGTTGCCCAAGCTGGCCTCAAATTTGTGATCTTCTTGCCTCAGTCTCTATAATAACTGGGATTATAGGTACGTACCCCTGCAAGATAATTCTTTCTGAAAAAAATTAATCTAAAAACTAAAATTGTTGATGACTCTATGAACTTCATGTATATCAGCATAGTTTTTAAAAAATGTTTCAGTCAAAAATGACTTAACAAAAACAAGAAGGATTCTCCCCAGGTAAAGTTTCTCCCATTATTCCTGCTGATACCAATGTATCTTGTCAGGTTACTATCAATTGGCTGTCATTAAGGCAAGCAGTAATTGGTTTCATGGTCCAGAAAGTTTAAACATGTACTGAGCTAAAGAAAATAGATTGCTGATTTGATCAGCTTAGAGTTTATGATACAAATTGAAGACCATTTACAAGTGGAGGTCAACGGATTCAAAGTCTAGTCTAAAAATATCAATTTTAGAGAAAAAATAAGACTACTTCTACCCTTGTTTCTTCCTGTACCATAAACAGCTTGATTGTTGGCTCCCCCTGCTGGGACAGATGCGAAATTCAGTCGAGAAGGCTTTACTTGAACTGCGCTATTATCAACTGTCAATTCCAACCTATAGTGCAAGGAGTAATTGAAAAATATAGCGAATGTTAAAATTAAAAATCTTATTACAGTAAAGACATATATCCATGAATAATGGGGTGTGTTTGAAGTGAGGAAATATTTTGGGTTTTTTGAGAGGATTAATGGCAGTGTTTCATTTACTGTAATAAATGTTTAATTTGATGCTGTATTTTTTTATCACCCGACATTAGGCAACCATTTATGGCAATTTCTACCAAATAAAAACATTACAGTGTGTGTTCATCACCTTATTCACTGGATCTGGTACCATGTGACTCCTGGATCGGCCCCAGAGCCAAAATAGCCATTAGAAGTAAACATTTTGACTTGATTCAGGACATTGAGGAAGCCACAACTAAAGACATGACAGAGGAAGTCCAGAACTGCTTCAGAAAGTGGCCAGAACAGTGAGACAAATGTGTCTGATGTGGAGGGTGAATCTTTTGAGGAGGATTAACAGCAATGTGTCTTTTACTGTAATAATTTTTTTAATATAAGTACCATATTTGTATCATACCTCACATACATGAGCATTAAATTTTTGCTTAGATGATCCTGTGTCTCAGATTGTTATGCTAGCTTTTAAAATGACACCTTTGGGCTGGGGATATAGCTCAGCATCATAAGCACCTGCTTGGCAAGTGCAAGGTCCTGAGTTTGATTCTTGGTACCAAAATAAATAAATAAAATGACACCTATAATTTAGACCTATTATGTACAAGAGCATAACAACTGATACACAAGAATCTACTAAACTTTATTTCTCTTTAACACTGGAGATTAAAGCCAGGGCCGCACACATCCTAGGTAAGCACTGTACATGGAGCTACATCTATAGCCTTTTAAATTTTGAGATGGAGCCTCACTAAATTGCCCAGGCTGGTCTTGAACTTGTGATGCCCCTGCATCAGTCTCCTGAGTAGCTGAGATTACAAGAGTGCAGTGCTGTGCCTGGAGATTTGTTCTTAATAAATATCACTGAAGGCTTACTGTCATTTGCCTTCTCAGACAAAGCGATTGTTTCTGCATGTCTGCATAACCTCATTCCATTTTACCTCTGCCCTTTCTAGGCACTTTTCTTCAAAAGAAACAAGGCTAAGGAAGTTGTGTCTGGAATGGCCAGGGTACTTTCTACAAAGCTAAAAGGGCAAAGTTAAAACCAAGGTCTTTTTAAAAATTTAAGTTATTAGACTTCTTTCATTTTTCCCACAATATGTTATATTCTCAGGGAAATTTGATGTACATGTTATATACAATTAGCAGACATTTTAGGAATACAAATTTTAGTTAGGGCAATAAGGAAAGTACTGTGTAACCCAGGACGGTTGAGTACAAAGATGCTTTTTCAGCTGTGTATAAGACTAAGATTCCAACTCTTTGAGGAAAAGCTATAAAGTTTTCAAAACAAATAAATTTTTAACTGCTTCTGGAATTGAATGTCATTTTGAAAAACAACACAGACTCTGGAAACAAAATTAACTAGGTTTTATTTTAATGCAGTTGGTGTCTTGGATCCTCAAAGTCTATATGCTTAGATTCAACCAACCATACATCAAAAATATTTTTTGAAAACTTGAATCTGAGCTAAACATATTTAGACTTTTTTCTTTATCATAGTTCCCCAAACAATATAGTATAATAATCATTTATACAACATTTACATTGTATTGGGTATTGTAAGTCATTTAAAAGACCTGTAAGAGGGACGATGTGTGTAGTTATATGCAAATACCATGCCCTTTTATAAGGGACTTGAACACACATAAATTTTGGTAGCTACAGGGATCCTGGCTCCAATACCCTAGTGACACCAAGGGGATAGCTCTCTATGGCGTAGTATAAACACAGCTGAAATGTGTTCTTACTTATGTGAGTGTATAAAAATTGGTCTTTGTTGTGGTTGTATTTATTTATCATATATGTGCTTTGAAAAAACTTTAGAATTATCTAAGGTAAGAGTGAAAGTTAGGGCTAGGTGGAGCTCAGTGGTAGAGCGCTCACTTTCCTAACACGCACAGGCCCTGGGTTCAATCCCCAGGCAGAAAAAAAAAAGGGAAAGGAATATAAATGCTTCCAAATGCTTCCTCTCCTGGGGCTTTTCTTAGTAGTTATCTCCCTTTCTCAGAAATAACCATAAGTTTGAAACATTCCAACAGCTTTTCCATATATATATATATATAGAGAGAGAGAGAGAGAGACGGAGAGACAGAGAGACAGAGAGAGAGAGAGAGAGACAGAAAGAGAAAAAGAGAGAGAGAGAGGGAGGGAGGGAGAGGCACTGTACATGTAGTTTATTGGCTTGCTTTTTTGCCTGAAATAAATTTTGGCTTGCTTTTTTTCATTTAAAATAAATATTTTTCACTTAAATATTTTATCTCTGCTAGATACTGCTGAACTTTGTATTTGTTCACTGCTATATATTCTAACCCTCACAAACCTCTCTTTTAGGAAAACACTCAAGAACAGCATGAAGAAAGAGACAGAAAAAATAAAAATGTGTCCCAGTTTTTAAGAGAAAAGCTCAATAATGAAATAGCTGCAATTACAAAGAAATCAACGAGAGGCAACAATGTCCAAGAAACCGATGATGATGACAGCGAGGCTGAGGAAGGTGAAGATGATGAAGGAGAAGAGGATGGTGAAGAGAGTGATGAAAAAGCGACAGGGGAAGAGGAAAGGAAAGCAGAGGAAGAAATCAGAAATTGTGAGAGCAACTGCCAACAGGTACCCACTCAAACCTTCACGGAACAGGCAGATCAACCAGAGGCCCAAGAAAAAAGTGAGAAAAAAATATCAAAATTAGATCCTAAGAAGTTAGCTCTAGACACCAGTTTTCTGAAAGTGAGTGCAAGGCCTTCAGGGAACCAGACGGATCTGGATGGGAGCTTGAGGAGGGTGAGGCAAAACGACCCTGACATGAAGGAACTCAACCTGAACAACATTGAAAACATCCCCAGGGAGATGTTGCTGGACTTTGTCAATGCCATGAAGAAGAACAAACATATCAAGACTTTCAGTCTGGCGAATGTGGGCGCCGACGAGAGCGTCGCCTATGCCTTGGCGAACATGCTGCGAGAGAACAGGAGCATCACGACGCTCAACATTGAGTCCAACTTCATCACGGGAAAAGGCATCGTGGCCATCATGAGGTGTCTCCAGTTCAATGAGACGCTCACTGAACTCCGATTCCACAATCAGAGGCACATGCTCGGCCACCATGCTGAAATGGAGATATCCCGGCTTTTGAAGGCCAACACTACTCTGCTGAAGATGGGCTACCATTTTGAGCTTCCAGGTCCTAGGATGGTGGTAACTAATCTGCTCACCAGGAATCAGGACAAACAAAGGCAGAAAAGACAAGAAGAGCAGAAACAACAGCAGCTCAAAGAGCAGAGAAAGTTAATCGCCATGCTGGAGAATGGCTTGGGGCTGCCCCCAGGGATGTGGGAGATGTTAGGAGGACCCATGCTGGATCCCAGGATGCAGGAGTTCCTCCAGCCACCTCCTCAGCCTCCCAACGCCCAGCCGGTTCCCTTCAGCCGGAGAAATGAGGTGATGAAAAAGCCATCGCAGCCTCCGCAGCACAAGACAGACCCTGACTCCTTCCGAGTGGTGAAGCTGAAGAGGATCCAGCGCAAATCCCGCATGCCGGAAGCCAGAGAAGCACCGGAGAAAACCAACCTCAAAGACGTGATCAAAACACTCAAGCCAGTGCCGAGGAACAGGCCACCCCCATTGGTGGAAATCACTCCTAGAGATCAGCTCCTAAATGACATTCGTCACAGCAACATTGCTTATCTGAAACCTGTAAGTAGAAGGAGGGAAAAATGGTGAACAACCACCACAAGAAATGCACCCCTGTTCTGTTCTCTGTATATTTTAACACAAGGAGATACTCGTGGTGGAAACCAGGGAGCATAACCAGTAAGTCTCAATTGGTGGTTATCCCTAAAGTCATATGGCTATGTGACTACCATGACCCTAATATTAGCAGCTAGCACTTATCGGGCACTTTCCATAAGCCAGGATCATCATATCAATGGACGCGTATCATCTTCCAGTTCCCGAAGCAAATACAATTATTGTTCCCATTTAAAAAGAGGCTTGGCCAGCAGAGTACTGTAGGGCAGCGGGAGCATGTTGAACCCATGAAAAGAGGAGGCTGAGGCTTTAGGTTACTAAAGTGTCTGGAAGACACAGCTAGGAGTGGTAGAGCTGTGAGAGGCCGTTCTGAGTCCAGGGTCAAACTTTTATTCGCCCTGCTGTTCTGCACCCTCCACGTGCATGTGCAAAATGACACCCTTCTAGCCACACACAAGGGATGGCCAGAGATCCCCAGGGACCTGCTGGGGTGAGTAAACAAGAAGGAGGCCTAATTAGGCCGAGTGTAAGCCTCATTAGGCCACTTGGTTCTTTTTAGTAAATGAAGAGCAATTACCCACAATTGCACTTACAGTCTTTGCCCTTCCTCTCCTCCCCTCCCCTCCCCTCCCCTGCCCTTCCTTCCCCTCTCCTCCCTTCCCCTCCCTTCCCCTCCCTTCCCCTTCTCTTCTCTCTTCTTTTCTTTTCTTTTTCTTTTTCTCTTTCTTTGTTTTTTTTGCTGGTGGTAGAGAGGTTGAACCCAGTACCTTGGCACTGAGCTACACCCCCAGCACTTTTTGATTTTTGAGACAGCGTCTCACCAACTTGCCAAGTGGCCCAGGTACAGCTCAAACTGGTGATCCTCTTACTCTCCCAGGGTGCTGAGATTACAGGCAAGTGCCACCACACCCAGTTTACATTCTCCAATAGTTCAGTGGCTAGTTGAAGGGTAAACCTCAGGTTACAGTCTCCATGTATCTAAAGAGTTTGAAAATATTTACTACTATTTCAGTTTTAATATTTACTGTGACTCAATATTGCCACCAAGTGAAAAAGTTCTATTCTTTGCAGCTGAAGTTGCAGAAATGCATTTTTGGAGGTCGTTATTATAATTGCACTTATAGAGGCTGAAGGATGTATGTCTATATGTTACATTGACTAATACTTACCTGCGTTATTTTAAAGTCTTGTGTGTGATTTAGCTGAGAGATTACCTTGACAGCATAGTCAACATATTATTTCACCGTAGAGATTCACAAACGTTTAAAACGTGTTAACAAATTTCCATGTAAGCTTGTATTTTTTCTGCTTTGAAGAGCTTTATATTCTAAAATGAGATAATTGTTACTTCCCCAGTACACATTTAAAAAGATAATTGCCACTTATTCACATACATACATATTTATAGCTCTTACTCTCATCTCCTAGAAATGTAGAGTTGCCCATATTCCATCTTTTAAATCAAAGATGACTTTGATCTGAGATTTGGAGGCAGCCTGATTTTTCCGGGGATAGATGCCAGGAAGAGCACTAGAGGTCACACGAGGTCACTTGTGGTTCTTTGCCTGACCTTGGGCACAACTTCAGACTACACCTGTTCCTCTCCTAAGAGCCAAACCTGAGGGTGAATGAGGGTGTCGGAGATAACGAACGCTCCATCATTTCCTTTATGATCTGTCATTGGCCAAGAATGTCCTAGCCACTTTGATAGCTGTAAGTCAGGAAATAACTTTCTGAAAAGAATGATATAAAGTCTGTCTTAAAATCTATGTGAAAGGTGGCATGCAGATTCAGAGTAGAATAAGAAATGGAGTTCAAACAATTACCTGAGCCACCACCCTGATTTCTGAGGGAAGGTTCTCTGAGCAAATCCGCTTTCCCTGAGTCAATTCCATCCCATCCATTCACGTATTCTTCAGTGCAACCACTGTTTGCTTATGTCCGGCACTGTGAAAGGGGCGGGTACCATGGTCAGGCAGGCGCAGTCTCCACCTCGTGGAGCTACAATGTGGGTTTTATAAGTTTCAGGGTCAAGGCTCTTTCCCTTTTATTCAACTGAGAAGGTTTCAGCTTTGTTTCTACATCCTAGAGCAAAGGACATTTTAATAAATTCACTCTGATATTTGCAACAACACAGCACCCTACTAAGTACTAAATTTTTCATGTTTTAATCAATTATAAAATGTTATCAATTTTAATTGTTTGGTTTTTCTAATAAATTAAGAAAGTGAAATATGCTGCAAAGTAAAGGATGACATACCTTTTGAGGTACAGTCTTGCATCCGCCTCTGCTTTGAAATAGCTTTTAAATATTGTTAGGAATTGCTCATTTCTCCTGCTTTCGTCTGCCTGGCTTGGCCTGATACCTAGGTTTTCTCATGTATCTCACAAATGTCACACAACTTCATCTACTTGGTCTTATGAAACACTATGCAAGAAAAATATGAGTCAAGTATAGTGGTGCACACCCGCAATCCCAGTACCCTGGAAGGCTGAAGCAGGAAGATCTCAAGTTTGAGCCCAGCCTGGGCAACTTAGGAACTTGATGAGACCCTATCTCAAAGTAAAAAATAAAAAAAGGCTTGGGATGTAGCTCAGTGTAAAGGCCCTGGGTTTAATCCCCATTACAAAAAAAAAAGAAAGAAAGAAAGAAAAAAGAAAGGGCCGGGTGTGGTGGCACACGCCTGTAACCCAGCACTCCAGAAGCTGAAGCAGGAGGATAAATATCTGTGTGAAAGCCAAGTCATACTGTAATCTTTTAAAATGCATTTTAATTTTTTATCTTTCTGGAGCCAGGGATATAGCTCAGTGGCACAAGCGCCTGCCTGGCAAGCACAAGGTCTCGAGTTTGATTCCTGGTGCCAAAAAAAAAATTTTTTATACTTTTATTTTGAAATAATTTTTGACCAACAGAAATTCGAAAATAGCACAAGCAAGTCTCACACACCCATCACATTTTACTACATTTGCCTTTTTGTTCTTTAAAAGCGATTTTAAGTTGCAGTGTGTGTGCATGTGCGTTGTCCCGGCAGGGGTATAACTCCTTGGGGTGATGACAGGGTGCAGAGCTGTGAGGTGTGCACCCTTACACCTGCGGCCAGCAGATGTAAACACCATTAATATAAGATTCATTCTGATGTCTTAGCTGGGGAAACATCACAGACATGCCTCACAGACTCGGTGAAATACTTTAAACACCATTAGTGGTCATATGACAACACCCGAAGAGAAAGGGATATTTTTGGTCATTCCCACAAAACATGAAAATACTCACTTTATGGAAATGAAATTACAGGTTTCTGGGTTTTAGGTTCAGATGCCCTCCAAATCCTTGAATTTTCAATATGAGGATAAAATTAACACTCCATTTTGAAATCTTGTATTTTTTTTTTTAAACTGATGTTCTTAGTTGGAATATTGACTGTTCAAAAACATAGCTAGAAATGATTCATAGTTTTTGGAAACTTTTAAAAATATATTGCTCTATAGGCTTGGAAATATTAATTTTGCACACACTGCAAGAATGACTTTAATTTTTTTTAATTATGTTTTTCATTTTGATGCTGATTTTTTTCCCCAAACCCATTTCTCTGGCCTTGGACCCCTGAAATGGAGGCCTCCCAAGTCTGAATCTATACTTGCTTAGTTCAAATACTACCTCTTATAACGACCCATCCAACTCAGTTAAAACTGTCCTCTGTGGGCCAAGTATCAAAAACCAGTGGATATAGGCAATATCTGCATACCTGCTTTATTGGCTTAGGTGTTACTGTCTACATTTCAAATGTCCCATAAAAAATTCTAAATATCTAGCATTACTTGAAACATCAGATCTGACCATCCTGGGGTTACATTTGCACAACACAAACCAACTGCTTTGTGTGTGGATGTGTGTGTGTGTGTGATGCGTGGTGTTAGGGCTTGGACCCAGGGCCTTACCCATGCTGGGCAGACAAGCATTCTCCAATCAGCTACTTCTGCATATTGGCTTCTCCCTTGAAATAGGACACGGCCTCTCCAGTTTTTCTTCTTATACCTGCCCTGCTTCATTCATTTACTTGTTTGGCTCCTAAAGAATTTTTTAGAGCCGGGTGTGGTGGCGCATGCCTGTAATCCCAGCACTCGGGAGGCTGAGGCAGGAGGATCATTGCCAGTTTGAGACCAGCCTGAGCTACAAAGTGAGCTCAAGGCCAGCCTGAACTGCATAGTGAGACCCTGTCTCAAAAAGACAAAAAAAAAAAAGAAAAAAAAAGAATTTTTTAGTGTTCTCGCTCTCTTTTAATCTTTTTTCCTCTCTGACAATGTAAATTTATTACATAACAACTAATCTCTTTCCCTATGAGTTAATAACTCTAAACAGATGTGGTACCGGAACAGAGCGTTCTGCATGCAAGCTTTCCCTCCCTGACAAATACACAGTTTTCTTTCATCTTCAGAAATGTCACGGCTCTCTCACTGACCACCCTCCTGGAGGATGCTGTACTTGTAAACTCCCATTCACAGCAGCTCCTCCATTCGCTGAGGCCACCGCAGTTATAGCAAATCTAGGCTTCCGCAGCAGAGAGAGGGCTGCTTTAACAGCCACTTCCTTTTATTTTGGGCTCACTGCATATGTCTGGGTTGACAATAATTGTCAATAACCCTGCTAAAGTTCTCCTCGGGAAGACTTCAAGACAATGTCATGTGCAATGTTTGTATCCCCCAAGACTCCATGATCCCTTACCAGTTGCTACGATTGCAGAATTTAAGCTGATCAGTCCAAGCCCCTGACTTTGTCTCTGGTCCCTTCTTTGCGGTAGTTGTACCCTTTCTCTTAATCAGCTTTTCTAGATGGTATCCTTTGGCAATTCTCTTTCCTGTCACCTGTCTCCTTTGGTGTCAGTATCACACAACTTAGGACAAGACCCCGGTTTCTGTTTCCCTCGTTGTCAGCTTATTTTTTTCTGTCCCCCTTTTTTACAAAACTTTTTTTATTAGCACCTATGGCCATACATAGTGATCATAGTCATTGTAGGGAATTTGTACCTGTCCATAATACGTCTTCATTCTCCTTTCCCTAGCCCCCTCCCCTCTTTTCAAACTTTCTTCGCCCCATTTACACAAGCTTTGTTTCCATTTCCTTCCCATTCTCTTTTTCTGAAGTCCCTTTCCCCTTCTTCTCTCCCCGATCCCCTTTTCCTTGTCTCTCCCCATTTGAACATGTTCTTCCTATTTTCCAACATCTAGCTTCTGTTTTGCTCCTTATATATTCTTTGGGCTTCTCACACACGACAAACAGTGTAATCCTAGCACTCAGGAGGCTGAGACAGGAGGATCACAGAGAGTTTGAGGCCAGCCTGGGGTACATAGTGAGTGCCTGAACTACATAGCAAGACCTTGTCCCAATAGGGAGAAAACAGAGAGACAGAGAGAGACAGAGAAACAATTCAGTATCTAAACTTGTGTTTCTCATTACTTCACTTAAAATTATAGTCTCAAGGTTCATCTATTTACCTAAAAATGACTCAGGTTTATCCTTCTCTGCCCCTTTTTCTTGTCTCCGAAAAGAAATCAGGAGAATCTACACGAGTCAAAGCCAAATGTAAATCATCACTTTGAAAATACAGTGATTCTTATGAACAGAGACTCTCTGGAGCGAAGCCATGTAACATCTCAAGCCCCTCTCAAAAGAGCTTAAACAGTCCAGGAATTACATAATTGCCTTCCCCTCATATGTCAAGGGAGAGGCTTTGATAAGCTGCTGTCTTTAAGTCTATTGCCATCCTAGGCTCTGATTCAGTAAGTCTTAGGACCTGAGGTTTCGCATTTCTGGCCTGTTCCCCAGAGGCACTGATGCTGCTTCCTTGTGGACTGCATTTTGACAACCACGACTTCAGGACATGCACGGCAGACCACACCTGATACTGTATTTTCCCGGAAGAGCCTTGCTTGCTTTTCTGCCTCTGTTACACTCTCTGCCTCAAATTATCTCTTCTTCTCTCTGTGGAAATTTATCCAGTTTCTGAGGCTTGTCTCAAATACTGCTCCTTTCACAAAAAATCAAAGCAAACCCTGGGCTTGTATGAGGTGTGATCAAAATAGACAGTGAATGTTGAATTTAAAAAAAAATACAGGGGCTGGAGAGTTAGCTCAGCGGCACAGCACCTGCCTGACAAGCACAAGGTCATGAGTTCGATTCCCGGTACTGGAAGAAAAACAAAACAAACAAAAAAAATACAATGAAATACACATTGCAATGGATTGTCCTCAAATTTCTACTCCCCACTTGGAGCATACTTCTCCCACTGAGCTTGCCACTTTCTAAAGCAGTTCTGGACATCCTCTTTTGTGAGGGTCTTCAGTTGAGCTGTTGTGGCTGCCTTGAAGTCCTGAATGGACACAAACAGAAGAGGAACTCAAAACACGTATGCTGAAATAGGTCTTCACACACAGGCTCTATGAGTGTGTATATATATGTGTACTGTGCAAGAGCCACACATACACTTACATACCACACACTCCTTTGACTTTCTGTTGTTAGTGGTTTGTTTTGTTTTCTTAAGACAAGGTCTCGCTATGTAGTTCATGCTGGCCTTGAACTCATGGCAATCCTCCTGCCTCAGCCTCCCAAGCACTGGAATTACAGATATGCACCACCACATCTAGCTCCACATACACTCTTTTTAAAAATGAATTTTAATAAATGAGGGGGAAAAGAATTCCATAATGATGACACAAGTTGATTCTTTCCTATTTGAAAAAAATCTACCAATTTTTTTCTGTATGTTTTTTGTTATTCTGCTTATGAATGGCTTCACTGGTGACTAAATTATGTACTGATTTTTCCTTAGAACTTTTATAGTTTCTGGTTTTTAAAAAATATTTGATATTACAGATTAATTAGAAGGAAAGATGTTAAAAGTAAATAGGAAGCAAGAAGTCTACTTCATTATTTCTTTTTCAAACAGTTCACTGAGATCATTTTGTGACTTGTTCATCCTCACCCCAAAGGTCTGCACTGGCAGCTTGCTCGAATTTGACACATGTGTTTATGTCTTTTGGTTTATTATGCAGGGTCAGTGTCACATTTCACTTTTTAAGATATTATTTTGGAACCCTTCAACAGGTATAGAAACACATACAAAGATCCATAATACAAAGATCACACTGTTTTAGCTATTCATTGCAACTTTCCGGTTATTTTAGGTAGCTGGCATATTTTTTTGTTCATCGCTCTTCCTAATTATCCATGTTTTCCTTGCGTGAATGTCCTGAGGCACAGTCATACCCCTTCCTTCTCAAAGTCTAGCTCGAGGGAAGGGGCAGGTCAGAGCACCTGGGAGGGTCCTCGGCTTGAAGGCAGCAGCACACAGAGCCAATGTCCTTCCTGATGGACAGCATGCCGGGAAACGTCCCTGGCCAAAGGTCATGGGCAGACAACTGGCTGCAGAAGGAGCCATAACAGACAGCCAAAGGTGTTCGTCACACTGGCAGGCGGACGTAGGCAGTAAGGGAGAAGCAGACTTGGTTGCTATTTTGTACCAACTCTGAATGGTCGCTTAGTTTCTTCAGTGTTTTCTGGAAGGTAATGGGGGGTCACTCTCCTGTGATTCAGGCCACTTGAAACCCTGCAGGAACTCGAGTTGAAGCTGTTTGTATGACCCAGAAGTAGGAAGTTGATGTGCAGAGTTGGATTTAAGTCATTCATATTTTTTGCACTGGGGGTGTCACCAAATAATATTTTTAAGTTTTACTGAGCATCAAATTAAGAATATGGTTCAAAGGGGAAAGAACTATTTTAAAAAGAACATATCTCTTTTGGGGGGGATGGTATTTTTTAGGCAGTGTACAGTCGTGGGTTCTATAAGCAGACAAATCCAGCTCAAATCCTACTCTGCCACTTCCTAGCTGCCTTACCTTTGGAAAGTTAGCGTCTTCTCTGAGCCTTTCCCCTGCTTACAAGGCTGTTGTAGGAAGTAGTGAGGTAATGTTTTGTTTAAAAAAAATGTTAACATTGGGCTGGGAATATAGCTCAGTGGCATAAGCGCCTGCCTGGCAAGTACAAGGTCCTGAGTTCGATCCCCAGTACCGCAAAAAAAGAAAAAAAATGGTAACATTGATTATTCTACTGTCACTGTCATCACATATCTGAGAAAATAATGCCCAACAGCAATCAACTGGTAAGTGCCAGGCTTTGAACTCAGGCTGACTCCAGCACTGGCCCTCTTGTTTCTGACACACTTCACAGGGTGGTAAATGACCCTGAAACAGTCCCTGGCATTAGCAAATGCCCAGTGCTTGCTGGCTGCAGTGGTTCTTATTTCACCATGATTCCGCAGGACTCTCTGGCCAGGACTTCTCATCCATCCTGCATCCGTGTAATTTTTGCTGTAAAGCGCTTGAATTCCCGAGATTGATTTTTCCCTTTTCTTTCAAATCACAGGTGCAGTTGCCGAAAGAACTGGCATAAGAGGCTGCAGAGTGAAGAGCAAGAGGAAGAGCAGGGAGTTGAAACAGTGACTCTTTGGCCACCGCCCTTCTGCACCAGGAGGTGGGACAGAGGCCGTGCTTACGCCCGAGGGGAATCAGTACAAAGCACAAAGCTTGGGGCGCACAAAACATGGGCGGAGGAAGGGAGAAGGAGACAAAAATCCTAACGATCACGGGCAATATTTTCTACCTGCAATCAGTCTGAGCGCCTTAGGTGTAATTTAGAGTCATGTTTTCAGGGGCAGAAGCTTAAAAAATGTTTTTATGAACATTTGCTTTACTATTGCTTTCTTCTGGTAAATAATAAACAAGACAGAAGTGTTACCCATTCATCACATTCCCCTTTTCACCCCTTCCGCCTCCTCCGCTGTAACTCACTGCAGTGTCCTCAAGGGGATGGTTGGGTTTCAGCCTACGGAAATATGGAGAGTGAATTGAACCCCTGGCTCTTCTGCAGCTCTGAAATGGAAGGGTTGCATATTAGTCTAACTCTGGGAATCCCCAGAGCTTTCGTTTCCAGCCCTGCCTGGCTTTCTCCCTCCGTGACTGTCCTGAAGTTTGGGTGTGTTCTTCCAGTGGGGTACCTGGGAGGAACGGAGCACCGAGCTCACCGTGAAGAAAACAAACTGCCGGCAGAAAAAGTAAAGAGAACAAAGTAATCCCTGCATGCAGGAGGTATGACCCTAAGAATATGATAAATGTTTACATTAAAAAAAAATTAAGTGCCTGGCGTGGTGGCACACACCTGTAATCCCAGCACTGGGGAGGCTGAAGCAGGAAGATCCCTGTGAGTTCTAGGCCAGCCAGGGCGACATAGTGAGTTCAAGGTCATCCTGAACCACTTAGTGAGGTCCTGTCTCAAACACAACAAAGCAAAGCAAAACAAAATGTTACATAAAATGAAAAAGGTTTTAAATGCCATTAACCCCTCCCCGGTGCTTTCCCTTGCTTTGAACTGACTTACCCGATGTTCTTGCCACTTTCTGAAGCTCTTTTTAGTGAGTCTTTTCCTGTCTGCCTCCCTGTCCTGAACTGACTCAAATACGTCTATGGCGATTTCTGCCAAATAAAAACAATATGGAGTGCCCTGTCCAACTTGTTCACCAAACCTGGCACCATGTGACTTCTGGGTCTTCCCCAAAGACAGAATGACCGTGCAGAGTAAAGGTTTTGAATGGAATTAGGACATCGAGGCGGCCAGGAGTTTTGAAATCGCTTCAGAAAGCAGCCAAGAACAACGGCGTAACTGTGTTCAAGGCAAGGGCGAGACTTTGAGGAGGACTGGCTATGATGTGTCTTTTGAATCATTCAGTGCATTGTTTGGTTACACCTTATATGAACACTTCCGAGCAGTGTTTCTACATATAAGGACAACAGGAGATAGTGTGGTGTTCTGTAGAAATAAATTAGGGGGGTAGATAATATAGTTATTGACAAACTTTTAATATAGTATGGGAGTCTAATTTGATCTTTGTTGTGTTCCTCGAAATCCTTCCAAAGGAAGCTTGCTTACAGGATTAAAGTCCTTATCCCATCCTTCAGGACACTCCATTGCGGGGCCCCAGTGTACTACTACGATCTTATTCACTGCATATCTTTTATATTCCTCTTGATAAACCAGCCTCCCACACACTCAGTTCCTCTTCTTTCTCTGCCCTGCCACGGAATTCCCCCCACACCGGACATTTCCCTCCTGTGCTTGGCATGTGAGAGCCCAGCCCATCCCCAAAGCTGGGCCCCATCCACGTCCTCCACAAACCACGGCCTGAACAACTCGAACCTGCATTCTTCCCTCCTTCTAAGTTCTGACAGCACTTAATCATCTGTCTTGTGACCAGATGCATAGGGTTTTGAGAGTTTGTAATAACAGAAGTGATAGGGACCTAGGAATTAGGAAATGAAGCTTTGGTAATCTTTCTCTTCTTTACCTGAGCAAGTAATTGGCACCTGCCTTCTTTCTCCTTCTGTAGAATCGTAGCTGACACGTAGCAGGCAAAGCAGGCTGGGAGAGGATGGCTGTAACAGGGACAAACTTAAGACAATGTACTATTTGGAAGGATAAGTCATGAGACAGAAACATGGTCCTCTGTTTTTAAAAGGTAAGTTAGTGTGTACAAGAGTAGCCACAGTTAGACAGTTACGGTTTTCAATCAAGTAATAGCTGATAGCTTCGTTTTCTCCTCCTCTAAAATGTCTACAAAATATGCTCATATACAAGCAGTTTGGTTAAGAAAGGGCCTCAATAAATAAAACATTTTACTCCAATAAGATAAGCACCCTAAGCAGATTTAAAAGCTTACTGTGTGTCAGCAGTTGAAGTTCTGGAAAGCCCTGTAAATTTGCCTATTCAGCCACGGTATTAATAAAGTCAGGAATTTTAATAAGTGCTAGTGGTCCCGAAAGAGGATTTTAATCCCAGCTATACTAAAATAAATTATGTAATTTTCATGTAATTTCACATTATATTTTTTCTATTCACATTCCTGCCCTAAAGAGCTTAGTTGAAGATTTTGTTTTAAAACATACCGTCAATTGATAACACTTACACACTGGCCATTAGATATTATAATAAGAATCTTAAAATTCAACTTGTCACTTTCTTTAAGTGTATGGCACTTAATTAGAATGCACCATGCAGAAAAATGGAAGGGGCTTAAAGTGTGTGTAAGACTGAGGTCAGGGTTGAAAAAAGATCCCACTGGAATTCAATGTTATCTCTGGCGGCAAGGCACCAAAGGGTTAAGGTTTTTTTAAAGAGTATCTGGAACTCAAGCTAAGAGTGCTGTGTAGCGTAACCTCATGGTTTCTAGGTCATCACTGAGCTTTTCAGATGTTTAATGTAGATGGCATTAAATAAAGTCTCACCCACAAAAGCCCTTTAATATATTTTATTTTTCATATTTGGTAAAGGTACAGATTCTAGCGCATGTGTGAACCGTGTGATGTCAATGTGCTAAAGCTGAAGGCTGCAGATTGGCTGAGAAATTAAAATGCAACAAAACTCAGGAGCACCAAAGGCCACTGGTGTTCATTCTAGGATGGACAGGGTTTCTTCACTCTTGCTGTCATCACAATGCAGTGTCGGGCAGGGATGTAGCTCAGTGGCACAAGCGCCTGACTAGCAAGCGCAAGGTCCCGAGTTTGATTCCGGGTACCAAAAAAAAAAAACTCACACATTAAAAAAAACACAATGCAGTGTCAGTAGAACCTAAATGTTTTCCACTTCACTTATGAAATAACTCCATTGGCAAGCAAATTAATAATCTATTTCTAAACACATGGGAAATCCAGGGATGAAAGCAATGAAATATTTAAACACATGCTATTTTAATTGCAATGTCTATCTACCAAAGCATATGGTTATAACACTTGCTACCTAACATCTCCATGAATTGCAGAAGCCAGTGATCATTCCCATTTTTACAAGACTTTTGAAGGACTGGGGATTTAGCTCAGCGGCACAGCACCTGCCTGGCAAGTGCAAGGTTGTGAGTTTGATTCCCAGTACTGGACAAAAATAAAAAAAAAAAGGCTTTTGGGCTTGGTCATCTAAAGATGTTTTTAAAATTTTAAAATATCAGCTAGTATTGTCCTCTTTGTCCCCCTAAGAAATTAATAAAATGCACATTCATTACTTTTTTAATGCTCCAGTTAAAAGGAAATAGTGAAAAACGTACAGAAACATGACCATGGACATCTTTTCTTCATAACAACAAAAAAATGTGCAATATAAGTAGAACTTAAGTTTGGTTTTATTTTGTTTGTATTTTAACAAGTCAGCCAAGAATAATACGGGCTACACAGCTGTAACCTCAAGGAAGATAACAAAATTTGCAACAAATACCTGCTGGTGAACACACATTACCAGCATTTCAAAAATTTACAAAAATTTAACAAAATATTCTCCTAAACAGCTACCTTTATATTCGTAAACAAAGTATAAACAACTGGCTCATCCAGTTATACTGCAAGTCAAACAGGCAGCAAAATGATAGAATCATCTTTGATTTTTTTGAAGAATAATAATACAAACTAAACTAACTGATACCTCACACAATACCATCCTACGGAATTTTGGAGAAGGTGCCAGGAAGGAATCAAAACGCTCTAATACATGATGTCATCTACTTTGACAGCCTTTTCTCTTTTTATTTATTTTTCTTTTCCTTTGACAGCTTTTTCATTGACTTCTATTTCCTTGATATTTTACAATTATTTTTTTCCCTACGAGATAGCCATATTGTTGCTGGAGAATCCATAGCTCTCTGTCATTACCACACTGGAAACCTCAGACAACAGGAGGGTGGTTTGCGTTCAGCTTCTGAGGACTTGGCTCGGTGACATCACAGATGTTAAGAGTAGGGCCAGCACGTGCATGCTGCCGTAGGTAGCTGGGTGGTAAAACGTGCACCTCCTATTTAAAAAACACAAACAAAAAGTAGATCTGGACGAGGACAAATTGCAACTCAATTTCAGCTGCAGCCCTGTCCCCAGGAGAAAGGTTTATTCCTTCACTTTGCTGATATAGTCAGTGAGTTTGCTGATGCCTTCCTCCTGCTGCTCCAAGGCCTCCAGAATGATGCCCATGGGCGTCCTCTTCACACCGATGCCCTCCATTTTATTCTCCAGCTTGTTCTTGAGGTTCCGAAGTCTCAGGGACGCGTGGATGAACATCACTGCAAGGAAGGGGTCCGCAATTAGCACCAAAACAAGAATTCTCTTTTGTCACATTCTTTCCCCTCCCGCGCTTCCCACTTCTACTGCACTGCCTCACTTAGCTGCGATCCAATCTGTTTCTTCTATTGATCTCAGCAGTCAAGCACTTAAAAATTAGGAAGAGACTCTAGTATCAAACAAGAGTAGAGCCCAGTGTAGGCTACAGCAGTTTGTGCTATACGGCTTGAGACCTGTTTGTGCTTTATTTATTCTTGCGTCTCCCGAAGTGTCTGACAACAGCAAGTACCCATACCTATTTGTGGAATGAAGGAACTATTATTAGGCCTTTGTCTGCTATTTTGCAAAATTCTGCAGACTTTAGCAGATACGCCAACACATATAAGGAGCGGGTTATGTAACTCCCATTGGACAAACACACCTACATTTTCTTATGACAGATACCAGAGAAAGAAAACTCAGGTTCACTTACACAACAAAGGAAAAGTGATCCCAAACACAAAGACCATGACTCCCCCAAACATGGATATGAGGAAATAGCTGGCCAGCATGACCACCATCACGAACGTGGTGGGGTACTGCTTCTTCATCCGGCGGAGGATGTCCTTATTGTGGGCAGCCCACACGAACCCTGTGAACACCAGCACCACCACAATTCCTCCAAGGATCATGTTGAAGGGGCTCAGAAACCTGGAGCAGGGAGAAAAACAGGGAGGCTCTCTCAGCAGTAGGAGTAGCAGGAGAAAGGAGACCAGAAGGAGGAGTAACAAACAATTACTGAGTACTTCCTAAGCCCTGCGCCTAAGTTGGAACATGAAATCCTCCTAATGCCATGAGCTACATTTAATTATTTCTCAAGTAAAGAAGCAGCTTCACAGGTTAGAAAACGGTGGGAGCAGTGTGACTCCCTCCAAAGTGGTCAGCCTGCCTTACTAGAGGCTGACAATTTTAAAAATGACAGCTTCTCTTTTTTTATTTGTGTGTGTGTGTGTGTGTGTGTGTGTGTGTGTGTGTGTGTTTCACTGGAAATTGAACCCAGGGCCTTCATACAGAACTTCACCCCCAGCCCGTTTTCACATTGTTTTATCTTGACACAAGGTCTCGCTACGTTGCTAAGTTGCCAGGCCTGGGCTCAAACTTAAGATCCTCCTTCCTTAGCCTCAAAGAGTACAAGCCTGTGCCATCACACTGGCGGAGGTGCTGTGTCTAACCTTCATACCTCTGGGCTCCAGCACAGGATGCAGGCTGTACTTTCTTAGCTCTAAGGGCATAGTTCAATCTTCATAAAGGTTATCATAATGGACGAATGTAGTAGAAGGGCCACACAATGGTCTCCATGGTCCACAACCAGTCTACAGTCATTTTTTCTGGGGCATGTGTTTAAAAACTTCTACTTGACTCTCCGTGTGAAGGAAAAAAAATCTGTAAGACCTGGGATTTCTTTCTGGAAAAAGAAAATCGAACACCCTGAGGCCCACTTTTCCGTGTGTTCTTCTTCAGACAGAATGAATGCTCTCCATTTTGTTCCAGCCCCCACCTCTCTCTATTGGACCCTTCATACAGGGACCCAAAGTGATATCCTCCGTCGCTGCTTTTCTCACAGCTGGCCTGAATGGCTTTCTTACATAACCTGCTGCCCCAAGGAGGCATTCGAGTATATGACTCCTGACATAGAAAGGCCATTCTCATTTTTTCTTATTTCATTTTATGTATTTTATTTCTGTACTGAGGGTTGGAGTCAGGACCTCTGCATTTCACTTTGTAAAAAAAAAAATATTTTGAGACAGGGTCTCACCAAGTCCCTAAGTTACCCAGGCTGGACTTGAATTTGTAATCCTCCCTCAGCCTCCCCGAGTGCTGGGATTAGACATGGGTGCCACAACACATGGCTCAATTATCAATCTTTCAGGAGGCCCAAAACATCTCGAGGAAATGGGTCATCAACTCAAATTCCCAAGCAACATGGCCTCCAGACTCACTGTCATGTGAGCCATTGTCACGTGACAGCCATCACATACGTCTTGAGGATGGGGAAAACACAACGAAGAAGCAAGTTAGACTGAGTGTTTCACAAACCACCATGACTGGGCATTGCAGTCCTCAGCCCCAGCTCACTGTGTAAAGGACACCTAATTAACAAAACACTGGGGTGCGCAGGTACAACAGACGTTGACGTTTCATCCTGGAACCCATGAGGACTTCCCTTGGGAGGACAAAGAGGGTGGGAGGCTTTGCACTGTACTCTCGGCCCACAGGGCGGATTGGCTTTCCCCTGACTGGGAGTGGACAAAGGATTCCAACTGATATTTGGATTCATATTTAGGATAACAACAATTCTTTTTTTAAAGTGCCTTTAAATTTTAACTCTGATTCTGCCTACAGAGACATATAAACCATTTTAAACAGTTTTAAATAGAGTGGAAATGTTTCACACCTTACTGGGTGAAATCATGTGATATAGCCAATGTAAAACTGCAGTGCAAAAGATAAAAGTTTCCACTCAAAGCAGCTGAACAGTGGGTAAGAACAGAAGAATATAATTAATACCAGGCCCCATAATAACAGTTTGCTTATTTCATTCAAAACCCTTCTAAGTCCTTCAAGCCAATAAATCTCTCTCTCAGAATATAATCTAGGGAAATAAATAAAATCGCAGAAGTTGAGACGTACCAGTGTTCATATGCATGGTATTTATGAGGAAAAATGTTTAGGAATCATTTGCATGGGGAAAAAAAATCATCCGGAGGGCTTGGGGAAGACGAATCTGCCCACTGCGCCGGGAGCCATGGTTTGGACCGGATGAGGTGTATGACTGAAATTCTATTAAAGGTGTTGGAGGGAGGGGCCAGGTGCGGATGGACCGCTGACTCTGACCTGTGCCAAGCCTGGGTTGTGGGTTGAGGTACGGTATAAAAAGCTATTTTTTTATACACTTAATAGAGTGAAGTACACTTAAGTTGAAGTACACTTAATAGAGTGCAAAAACATCAATAATACAAGGAGTGGGCAAAAACAACTATAATTTGTTCTTTGTTATATGGATTTCTCGTATATGTGAGGTAGCTCAGAAGTAGAAAATTTTATTATTTTGCAATCAGAAATAAAAGGACCATGTAAAAAAGTAAATATAAAAGCAAGGATTCCTCCCCAAGCTCTCCCCAACATTCAGTACAGGGGCTGTTCTGTTGCCTGCCCTCTCTCCCCTGCAGTTCTGCTTTACCAGGGTCTGCTCAGCCTCCCTGCACTCTGATTGATGTTACTGGGTTAGGCCTTATCTCCTGATGGAGCCCTGGAACTGATCCGGGAAAGACAAAAATTTCCCTGCAGGCCTAAAGAAAGGACAGAATCAAGCCGGCAAAAGCAGTACCCTCCTGAACAGGCAGTGGGGACTCAGCAAAAGCGGCCCCCAGACTCTCCCAGATTAATAAATCTCATTCCTAGTACCAAAAAGAGAGGAATTCGACTAAAAGACTGCCGTAGTCACACTGGGTAGGACCATCCTGCCGAGCTTACTCCCACCTTTCTCGTTCCGCTTTCATAGCTTTCCAGTGGCCACGTACTATTTGAATAATTAAAATCACCTAGCCAGGCACGGTGGCACAAGTCTAATCTATCGTCCCAGCATTTCAGAGGCTGAGGCACAAGATTCATTAGTTCCTGGACTAAATAGCAAGTCCCTGTTTAAAAAAAGAAAGCAACACTTGATGTTTAGAAATGACAAATGAAACAGGAGAGGTTAGGAAGAAACGCAGTCTTTTACAGAAGCTTTAACCTAGACCACCCCCAAATATTTCTGAGCTGTAAAGAAAAGCAAAGGTGAACATTAACACGACTAAACGGAGGGTTAAAGTTTAAGGAAACTCCTTTGTATAAACTGCACACAGGAAACGGGGGGCTGGCAGCACAGCATCACACGTCTCCTACTCAGTTCTTCTAAAATACTTATTAAAACAATAACTCATGAAGCAGACGCTCTCAAATTCAACTTGATTTTCTATTTTCCTCTGAACAAGTAAAGTGCATATCTATGTTGAATATCTATCTAAATAAAGCGGAGATCAAAGAACAATGAGACTCCAGGCCAGATTCAAGCAATTCCAAATTTGCTCTTCACCTGCTCCTGTTGCTCACGCTCACGGGGAAAGAACAGAGCGAGGACTCCCGTACAGCTGGTTTTAGTTTTCAGCACGCCCAGCCACAGTCTATAATTAGAAAGTAACCAAGCTTCCAAACTGGAAAAAAATGCTGGGCGTGGTGGCACACGCCTGTAATCCCAGCACTCGGGAGGCTGAGGCAGGAGGATTGTTGAGAGTTGAGACCAGCCCGGGCTACAAAGTGAGCTCAAGGCCAGCCTGAACTGCATAGCGAGACCCTGTCTCAAAAAGACCAAAACAAACAAACAAACAAAAAAAACCAAACTGGAAAAAATTAACAAAGTTATTCAGAGGAGAAATGAATTTCTTCCCTGTTCATGTTTCATGTTCTGTTGCCTGCCCTCTGTTCCCTGCTGCTCGCCCTTAGGGGTCTCTCATGACAGTCACTCAAAGCACCTCCAGCTCCCAGATGCAGCCGAAGCCAAATTGCACACTTGACCAGTGGAGCGTGGGCTGGACTCCAGCTCTCACCTACCCCTACTGCAGGGGAGAGAGGGCAGGCAACAGAACATGAAACATGGTTCCCTGTTCTCATGACATCGATTCCATCCTGAGAAGAGGTAAAATGTCTACCAGTGCCCCACTACCCACCTGGGCTTGGAGCAAAAGACACACACACACACACACACACACACACACACACACACACACGAGTAATTCCATTTTCCAGCAAGTACAACGTGAGGGAACCAGTTCTTGTCTGAGGTGCTTGTAGCTAACAGTTGGGCTGTTGGTCATGTTCGTCAAGACCAAGTCTGGGAACCTTTTAGGATAAAAGTTTCTACACATGTGCCTCTCATCTTTCACACGGGCAGCTGTCACTGGACCCTGCTGGGTGGTTTCATTTACCGGTAGCCCTCGTCTGCGGAGGGAGGATGCGCACCAGTGAGGGCGGGGAGAAGACACGGAAGATTAAAGGTGGGAGGATGGGAACAGAAAGACAGAACACTTCATTTGGATATAGGACCTAGTTGGGCAAACCAGAAACATTAAATATGGTTTCTATCATGAGATAAAAAGATATATATGTAAGTTATCCCATTCCAATAAATAAATGCTATTTGTAAAGTTAGAAATTATAGTGGGGTCATTTATGGTTGCAAAGTAAGTTTAGAAATCCACCATAATTTTTCCCCCTTTGGTCTTTTGAGACAAGGTCTTGCTATATAATTCAGTCTGGCCTTAAACTCATTATGTAGCTCAGGCTGGCCTCGAACTCACAGCGATCCTCCTGCCTCAGCCTCCCAAGTGCTGGGATTTCAGGCGTGCACTACCATGCCTGGCTTTTTTTTGATGGTGGTGGTAGTACTGCAGATTGAACTCAGGGCCTCTGTACTGAGCTATATCACCAGCCCTTTTTTATATTTTTTACCTTGGAACAAGGTCTTACTAAGTCACTGAGTTGACTAGGCTGGCCTTGAACTTAGGATGCTCCTGCCTCAGCCTCCAAGAGTGCTAGGACTACAGGCATGAACCACTGTGCCTGGCTTATCACAAACTTCTGTGGCAGAGTCTCAAAGGATGAATCAGCATAGT